CGTTTCATTCGTATAAATTTTCATCATTCGCTTTAGCCATTATGGTAGCTTATAGCATTTTAAGCATAATATTTAAACATCTATAAAATATACATATTTAATTTAAATAAAATGTGAAATTTAAATTGTTATAAGTGTAATTTATCTAGTTATTGTAGGGACCACTCAATAAAAACTGCGATGTTTATTAGTTTAATAAATAATAATACTTAACAATAAATCCAAAAATTGGAAAAAAATTAATTTAACTTAAACGTATAGAATAAGTGCTGTTGTCATATTGGAAATTTAAAAAATATTATGTTTTTAACAAATTGCCTGTAGTTGACACTTAAATTTATGTAAGCATTTTGTTTTGATATTGTTCTTTTTGTATCTAACTGAGGATAAGCATGAACAATTACTGTCGGGGGAGCCATGCAAAAAAAAACACTGCAAAATCATTCCTAAATATTATACTTACTTGTACGTGAAATCTAAAATAATGTCATTACTTATTTCATCATTTTCAAGGGTATTGAAATTAACGTTTTTGTTTTGTATTTTCATGACCACAACCGCGACTGTAGAATAGAGGCTCAGTCCGGCCCTAGTATTTATTATAATATTATAATTATAGAGGCTTATGGTTTATTTTTCAAGAAATAGCGTACAAACACCATTTTTGTCGCTATTATAATTTTTACCTTTCAAAACTCACCAATTTTCGCATGGATAAAAGCTAGTAAGACCAGTGAAATGAGGTTAGGTAGGTACATAACCGTCAAATATGAACAATAATGAATATAGCGGTTTTGACTATTAGCTATGCCGTTGAAATAATCCATAAAGTAAATAAACAAAGAAAGTAGTTGCTTACAAACCGTTTATTGGCACTATAAAGATGATCACGCTGATGACAGCTAATAGTCGTACACGCAATTACAATATGCTATAAATTCCTGTTTAGTGTGTCCACATTAGTATAGTCAGCTGGTATTGGTACCTACACAATAAACTATAATCTAATTTTTAAAAACAGTTGAATCTATTGTATCTGTGTCCTTTACAGTATCCCGTTAAAATTAAATCAAACTATTTTTGTAATGATTATAGAAGTGTAGTAGGTAGAACATACAGCGGGGTTCAGAACTGTACCTAACCGACCTATTAGAATAAGTGACATACTGTTTTACTTAAAGTATCATATTTACACCTTAATTTAAAATAAATATGTGTCCGTTCTCTCAACAGTGTGACAAAACATTTTTTCCTGCAAAAATATACTCCTGGAGAGAAGCACTTTTTCGATAAACAGAACAGTTTTAGATTAAAAATCAATCCATGCAAAATTAAACTTTAATACTTGTTTTGAATGTTGACATAGATGAATTTCGATTTATAACTTAAAGGCATAATAACAAACCGTGTTTTATAGGATTTAGTATCAAATTATTTATCATATTAAATTATGCACAATCTAATAATGCGGTCAATGACCTTTAGTTTGAGTTGTAATAAATTAATGAAATGTAAGTAAATAGCCTATATAGTAAAACATGTAAGCTGTTTCATAGAAAGTAGAAATATGTGTGCTGGTTGTGAATTTGCTTAAAAAATAAAATCTAGGATAAGAAAGTTGCTGTTAAAAGTAAATGAATAGCGTGCCTTTTATACATGTATGTAAACTGTATGAATAAACATAGAGTATTTATTAGCATTAATGACATAATAGACACGCTAAGCAATAGAAAGTTAATGATGCAAAACAGCGTAAATAAAAAAAAAACCAGTACAGTATAAACGAAATATAGTCTAAACTACCAAATTATAAACTAGCACAGTCTAAGCAAGTAAATTATAAAGCAGCACAGTATGAACCAACATACTCTAATCCAAGTACAGTGAAAAGTTAGCAAAGTTGGGTCAATTTAATTATTAAATCTGAATGTTATTTCATAACAATCAAACGCTTCGATGTGATTCTGCAAATAGTACGAATCTAGCACTGAACACACTGCCTTGGTTCACGCTGAATCAAGTTCAGTATAAACCAGCAAAGTAAGAAGCGTTTTCTTGAATGTAAAATATTATATTTTCTTCATGTAATTTAATTTCGGGTGCAAGAAACTAGTACTGTAAATTCCAGTAAAAGTTTAGTACCTATGGTAAAATGACGCTCCTGGCTTTAATATTGTTGCACTAACCACTAAGTTTCTTTTGTGTATCAGTAAAATAAGATGTAATAAAAAAAGTGGAACATAAGCAAATAATAAAGTGGTCAGATTGAGAACCTATACCAACCACTAGCTGTGAGATTGCTCTGAATAATTTTATTGCCAACTAACTAGATTCTTACCTTTAGCTTGCATTCTGCAACACATGCACCTGTGATTTAGAGGTAGTATTAAAATCACATGCACTTTAATTTAAATCCTATAACGTTTTATCTAAAACAGATTATATTATTATTTTATTCAACTTTATACTGTTTTTAATTTTTCTTCCTTATTTATTTTACGTTATTATGTCAATAATGTTAATGATTCCGACAAAACAAAGGCAATCGTTTAGCTATGTCCCACCAATCAAAAAATAAAAATAAATGTATTTGTAATTATTTTTAGTATATTTAAATATAATATAAAAAAAAAAAAATTTAATTAAAATATATTAGTTCTTAGATTTTTGTAAGATTGAAGTATTATTGTTATTATCGTTTGTTTTTACAACGATCGTGGCTGTTTATTAATTTATTTTAAGTTAAAGTATTTTGATTAAAATATTTTGTGTAACAATACCTATTTTGTATAGTTATCTATTTGGAACCGAAGTTCTACGCTAATAGTGTTCTTTTTTTGTTATTATATTTATATATTAATGGACTTACAGGAATATGTATTGTATTAATATCTAATTATTAAAATAACATTTTGTTATTATGAAATTGTATTAAACATTTTTTTAATTTAATTTATGGTAATCGAGGAAATTAAAAAATAATCGTGCAAAAATCTCGTAGAGAAATGATTATATTTTGTTTTAAGTCACACAATTATAAACTCCTACAATATTGAGTTGCCAACTCTTAGGTGACAATTTTGGTTATTTAAAAATAAATAAGATATATAAATGTATATTTTTGTTTTAACTTAAACAATAACACAATTGAAAATATTAAAAAGCAACCCCATCTCAATTTCTCGGCATACGTAAACTGCGCCCAAATTACCTTGTTTTAGGTGAACTGCGCCCCAATTATAATTTGGTTAAAAAAAGGTTACATATAAACTGCGCCCAGCTTCATATCATCGGTATGAAATGCAAACAGCGCCCGAATCAATAAAATCACAGGAATATTAATATTTTAGGGTTGCTACCACTTTTATCAAATTGCATAAATTACCAATGCCTAAGACGAGTTTTTATTAGCGGGCGGAATTAGTGCTGGTAAGGACGGCAAGTTAGAAATATTCAACAAAATGGTTCGAGTATTGACTATAAAGATAAGAACAGTGATATTAGAAGGTGGTTAGTTTAATGCTACGGTGTACAATTTCTAAGCCCAGAAAGTGTATCTGAGTATTTTGTAAATTATTTTATGAAGTCTAAGCCCGACGACGAAAGAGTGACACGATTTGCGAATTATTTAGTAGAAGAAGCTCAGTATCCACCTAAAATATGGGCTCAAGCTTCAAGCAGCCAACTTTAACCACTAATGCATGCGAGTCATTCCATTCTCATTTGAATCCTACCTTTATACAACTCATCCAAATATTTTTATGTTTATAGAAAAGTTAAAAGAAATTCAAATAGAAACAAACATTAAATTAAATAGTATTAATGAATCTTTTAAATATCTAAATTCTAAAACAAAACAAAAACGTGAAAAATTACAAAGTTTAATTATTAATATATTAGCGGTGAAACGCCAGTTGATATCAATATCTTATTATCTTATTTGACCTAATTTTATTATTTGTTCTAATTTTATTTGATGTATATATTATATGGGTGTAACGAACTAAGTTGTTTTCATTGCAATTTACATGTCACCTTTTGGCTTTTTCCACATTATAAGAACTCGGACGCAGTTTACATGTCACCTTTTTCCACTTAATAAGAATTTGGGCGCAGTTAACATGTATGATTTTGTGTTTACCTGTGCCTTGGGCGCAGTTTACAATCGCCGCAATTTCGAGTAAAAACATTTCAAATAAAATAATTAAGGTCACGTTACGAATCATTCACCGAAGATTATTCCTAAATGGTGTATAATCAAAATGTAATATAATTTATTCTGAAAAAATAACTTAATAGTACTTTCAAATTTGGCCTTAAATCTTAATAAGTGTAATCTATTCATAAAACAACTATAGCCTTCAGTATAATATATAAAAGCTATAATGTTATAGTTATTAGTTATACAGGTATAACGTTATTATATTTATAAAAGTTTACTATTTTGTATTAGAGTTATTTAATAATATGTTTTTCGTAAATAAGACATAAAAATAATAAATTATAATAAAAAAAAAAAATAGTTTCACACAATTATTAATGACAAGTATAAAAACTATTTTTATCGCGATAGTTGAACAAACTTATACAAAGACTAATATAATTTATGTAAGGAAATAGTTTTGTTCACACTCTCCAAGTTATGCTAGTTACATTAAAAGATTGAGTTGCCTACGTAGTTCTAATGTTTAATTTCTTTTTTATTGTGGGAAAGGGAAGGGCTAGTCTGTATATTGGTTTAGTTAATGAGATCCGTATATAATAGCGAATTTTATGTTTTTCTGTCGAGTAAGTGCTTTTATAGCTATGTACTATGTAGGTACACTACACCTACATATAGTACATAGTCATATAGTATACACTAAAATTTAGTGTCATAATACTTTATTTAATACTATATGACTATATAATATTTGTGTTTGTTTTCTATCTGACCTCGTTCAATCTTTAATAATATTATGATTTGTAACGACAAATAAAAATAAACCTAACACCCGAGAATAAGCGAATTTTTTATTTAAAAAAAAAACTAACACTAACTGCATAAACTAAAATGGTTACTACTATTGAGATACGTGCATGTATACTTATTATAACTATAAGACTAACTAGACTTTTGCTGGGTGTCTAAGTCACTTAAACATTTAAGTACGGTATTGTTTTGGTGGCGATAGTTGTACCGAAACCTAATCTAACCTAACCTAACCAAAACACGAAAGACTCGTATGAGAATTTTAATATAGCATGCCGGTGTACGCGCTGTGTAAGTCTGCCATCAATTCTTGCATACAACTGTTGCTCAAGCACATGAACTTTTGCACTTCAGCCGCGTTCGCCGGACGACAGTGTGGCACGGGGCCTTCGTTCATCAATGAAAATCTTAGTTTTTGCATTTTCTAAAATCGGAGGGACAAAAAAAAACATTACATAATTTTCAAAAAACATTTTTACAAGATTTTCAGCTAAAGCTAGAAATCCGTGAGAACAATTTTTATTTTTGCTCTTCTGTAAAAGGTACAAAAACTTGTAGTACCTTTTGGTTCTCAGCACTTTAAGTTTCGAAATATGCATTTGGAGAGTTAATGCTGTAAAAAAAAAATAACAAAATTTCAATTTACTTTTCTGTTTTCGCTCGACACTTTTTGATGGTTGACGCAACGTTCAGGATAATGTGTGCCAATAACGCAACCGACTTGTTCTTGGATTTCTTTGGGACACTTCCACGGTTCGTACAAGTAACGGCCGGGTAATCCTCTCAGCTCGGGAACGTATTGCCTTGCGAACAATCGTAATTCGGGTTTTTTTATTGCAATAATGTAAATACCGTTTTATCTTAATATTATGTACCTTATGTACTCGCCCAATGGGTCCAATCGCATACCATTGTTGACCGGGCACACGCACATAGGACAGTCCAACAGCTGTTCAAAGGTCGAACTGGAAACCCAAATCCAATTTCCCGAGCAAACCGCCCAATCAGCGTCCAGTAAATACTTCAAAAAGTGTTTCAACCCTTCGGTCCAACTTATCCAGAGATCTCCTCGAGTCAAAAAACACGCCACCGCGTTCCTCACCGCATGATGTATCCATCCTTCCTAATATTGGAATTATTGTATATATATAAATTTAAAAATAGCCACTTGTACCCGTTGGTCTAACATACTAGTATTTATTTATTTATTCATCCAGAGTTTTTGTCACTTGTCCAATATGGTATAATTTAAGGTTACAAAAAGACAAGTAGACGCATTTATATATTTATACCCGTATAAAGACGATCGTCGAATAAAATATGTTTTTTTTATACGAAATATTATTTTTACTTTTTTTAAAAAGTGTGGTAATTGAAATTAATACAAATTTGACGTTGATAACTTTAAGAGCTTTTTGTGTAACACTAATAATGAGAAGATAGATATTTGTCATCGCTTCAATATACGGTTATATACAGGAGAAAGTCAGTATGTTATGATTTTATAACGCTTAATTTTCAATTTTCTCTTAATATATATGAGATAGAAAGTTGATAGGTTTTTTTTATACCCTAATACATTGTAGATAATTTGTGCGTGTGTAATATGTGTGTTATTGTGCAATAACTAACAAACATTTTTAGATCAAAACTTTTCTGACCCAATTGGAAATAATAAAGCTGACTTTTCTGATATCGAGAAATTTTTTACAATGGAATTATTAGTACATTATTTTGAGTGTTAAAAAACCCAGGTGATATAATAGTAGGAGCTTGATTGTGTGTAAAGTTTTTTTGAAATTACAACCCCAAAATTGTGTTTACATTGCAGGGCTTAATAATATTTTTCGGTGTTTAAGCCCTCCCGGCTCCTTCAACAATAATTCTTTTATTTAGATTGCGCGATAATCGGTTTTGACCGATTTTCGAGTATTAAATTTTAAAATGTAGTCAAGTGCTGCAAAATACCTGCATTAATTGTCTCATCCCGGCGTCGACAAACGGATATCCGGTTTTACCGTTTTTCCAGCAATCCAAAAGCTTTCGGTTGTCGCCTTGGTCCAAGTCATTCCACTTTATAGCTATACAAGCCGGATTTTCTTCTACTTTGTTGAAATTGTCGTTGTTCACCGACATGACGTAGAAGTAATCCCTCCAGATCAGCTGACTGGTGGCGCTGTATTGGGGCAGCAAGTTTGTTTCGAACGACTGCGTGAACCGATTCGACAACTCCCAGTAGAATCTGCCGGACGATAATAATTGCGGATTCGTTTAAAAAGAATTCGGCCGTTTCTTTTTTTTTAGCACTTACTTCCTGATCGAGACACATCCCAAGCGTATAGCGGCGCTCATACTGGACGGTGGCACCAACAGTTCGGGAACGACTTGGTTTGGCAAGTAAAACCCTTGGATGAACGAGTCTGTTTCGACTTCCAGACGGTTCTGTAGTTGCTCTAAAGCCTTAGTTTCGCCCCCGTACCAACGGTTATACGGATTACGCACCTCCGGTATTTCCGGATACATATTAAAGTACTCCGGCGTTAGATCTTTTAGTTCCTGTGGAGAAAAAAAACATTGGCTCGTTACCTCAAACGAACCAACCGGTCGTGAGAATCTATCAACCTTATTAAATTGGTCCAAAATGTTCGACGAGAGTGTCTGGAAATTAACCGATGACCAATCGACATCGCGCACGGGTATCGGGGGTTGACCAATTCTGCTTACAACTATCTAGGCGATAAAAAAAAATATTAGCCGATTGCAACTTTAATTGAAGGACTTCAAAAGTACAATGCATCAGATACTTGAAAATTTTCAAAAGTCAATGGCGGAGTCCCACCGTTTCTTTCGATGATCAGTTTCGGGTCCCATAACGTGTGAGAAACCTTTTCAATCCATTCGATATTGTTTTGCTCGCAAAACGCCTTGACCGATTCGTCTCGACTCTTCCAAATGGGTTCGCAATCCTGATTGTATGACCAGGCAGAAAGACGCGTATAAAATAATAAGTATTACATTGACAGTGAATTATTTTTAATTGATTTGTTTACCTGTTCGAATGTTATCAAGTCCAGACCGATCTCTTGTTGTATTATTTTGAAAATCGTCACGGCATTACCTTGCAAAATGTACAAACGTCCGCCGTTCGATTTTAAATTTTCATCTAAATCCTTCAAACTTTCCAGTAGGAAACGCATACGGTTGTATCCGGTTAGCTCGGGATCTAGAAATATTTATTTAAAAAAAAAATACATTTAATTAACGATGACAATTTTATTGTTCAGACACCGCTAACAATATTGTAGTGCTGAAATTAGAGAAGGGACTTTACATAGATAGATTTACTTAAATAAAAACACTATATAGATGTTACTTGATTAAGTATCTAGAAAATATGCAAAATTTCTAAGCAAAAAAAATTGGGCCTGCGTATGCAATGCTTTAAGTTGAGCTTGGGCAATTAGTTTTAAATTAACTTAGATAATTATTTAACCAAACGACCCGTTAGTTCGTTTGAGGCAATCCGGCAAACTGAGTTTAGTCTAAGGCTTAAGCCACTAAACTCAATACATGGAATGCTCTACGGGTTAAAAATATACAGAGTGTCCAATAAAGATTTGACAAATTAAATAACTTTTTTTCTAATGGATATTTAAAAAAAAAATGTTAAATCATTATGTTAATGTTAAATTATTCTTAATAAAATTGCTATCTTAAATATATCTTAAAAATCGCAAAAAAATGTTGTCCGGTAAAGTAAATTTGTTCCCAAATCGAATTATTTACTTTGACTTGACTTTTAAATTGTTTTAATTTCATAGTGTATTCATCGTACATTTACTGACTATGTTACTATAAAAAGTCGACTCTTGATATTAACGACCCGGTTTAATATGCGGTTTTTTTTGTTATATTATTTAGTTTTACCTTCGTTTATGCTGTCGAATATGAAAATAATGATGAGCTTGCTGCTCCTTTTTGCCGCTTCTACCAAAGCCGGATTATCGTGTAGCCGTAACCCATGCCTATACCAGTGCACGCCGACCGACATGTTTAAAGTACTATTGGTACTCGGTAAGACATAAACTGAAATATTTTGTTAACAACGGTCAGTTTCCATACCATTCATATCGTGCATAGCATGATATCTTAGTGTGCTCCAGTAAAAACTACAATTGGACCTACTATGATCATCACGGTTAATATAGAGACACGATCAAATAATAATGTGTACAGCAGGAATAACAAAATAAATAGTTGACAAACAAATAAATAGTATGGCATTCATCGTGTCCCTATGTATTAACCGAAAAAAATGATCCGACTATGTATAGGTTTTTACCGGTGCACACTATTTGATGTTTGTTTAGGCCTGGATATTTACCTGGATACGTAGATTAAGTTATTTAAGTGCATGCTAAACGGACATACTTGGAACTACCGGCGACAAGAACACGGTTTGGACTTGTGAGATTGAACGACCGCCGGTAAGGCATTTAAATAGTAAACGAGCAACCGACCGGGTAGAAGTTCCAAAGCAATGGTACGGAGGCGGAGGAGAGAATATTGGATAAGGACATGCGGTAAACAATGTGTCACGTGTCCCGAAGGATGAGAGTGGGAGTCTGTTGGATCACGTGTTTTTAGGTAACACACACAGGACTAGAGCACTTATTGTTTATTCATGTTGTCGACACACCCCGGACCGTACCAATAGCAGTAAGGTTGCACATAATAATAATATTACAATACAAGCAATGCAATATAAAAACATCAAGACTGTTTGTTATGTCGACCTGGGAGCAAAATTTTATGTAATTGATTTTCCCCGTTCGAACAATTTACACACTCACTCAAGTGCAGGGTAAGTGATTTACCTACTGTATCACCAAGACGTGGGGTACAAAGTTTTCGGTTGGACTTTATATAATAGATACCATATATATATATATATATATATTATGTACCTACTATGATGGCGTTTAGTCGAAAATTCATCAAAGACAGAACAATAAGGGATTCCTCCCCCTTCATCTAAGGTAGACCCTAATACAGACTGGCGGTGTACTTTAGGATTTGCTTGCAAAATTACTTTTTTGCTCTATTGGCTTGGGAGTAGTTTTATAAGGTATCACTAACCAGTGACGCAAACGAGGGGGTTCCTGAGCTGCCCCGGGTGGGCTAGTGGTAAATTTGTGTGGTTTATTTTAAAATGAAAACGAATTAAAAATGTTCTCAATGTTCTCGAGGCATTATACAATTTTAAATATTAACCCGTCAATTTTTTATTTTAAATTCAAATTAATTGAATTATTAACAAAAATATTAACCCGTCAACAATGCAAATAGTAACAAATTTAAAAAAGTAAATTTGATAATATTACGATCATAGCTCGGATATCCATAATTATTACAGCAATTCGGAAAAACTCTAACCGACTAAGATAATTGTTTGGGATCATAAAAAGACATTACCTTAGTTTGTGCAGAAAATCAAGTATTAGTATTCTGATTAAAACCTAGGATCGAATTCGAGAGGAAGTTATATCCTCTATTTTTTAAGGAGTATTTAGGTATAGGGGTTTATTTGAAAAAGAAATGTCGGAAACGGATTTTTTGCTTTTTTATGTAAAAAATTATTTTTTAGTATTGAAAAATTTTGAAATTTAATTTATTTAATTACAAGAAACTGAATTTTTTAAATGATAATCGGTTTCCTGCCCAATCAAGTAAAGTAGTTATAGAACTCGAATTTCTTTATAAAGTTAAAATCTGATCATTCTATGTAGGCGTAATTTTGTCAGGCTTTTAGGTCTAAAATAAACCAAAATAGCTTTTACTCATAGACAAAATTGTATAAATTAAAAATAATTCCTTGAAGTTTATAAAAATTAGTCGGAAAATTATTTTTTAACTTGGTCGAAATGCATTAAAATAACTTTTTTCTGAAACATTGCCTATATAAAACTTCTTAAAAATGCCCACTTCCAATCCTCTAAAGGAAGATATTATCTTTTATTTCTATTATCTTTTTAATATTGTTCCGGTAGAGCTTATATATTTTAAACTTTTAAACAATAGCTACTGTTATTCTGGAAATATTTATTTTCTTGAAACGTTTATTTAACTGTTTTTATGGAACATTTACATACCTGTTCCAAAGATGACTATTAATAATTGAATTTGTTGAAAAAGTTCTAGAACTTTTTCGGACGCCGGTTAAGCTGAAATGAATTGTGCTTATGTAAATTTTTCAAGGGTTTTGGCTGGTTATATGGACTAAAGCCTTAGAAAAAAGGATGTCCCATAAAAATATACTTGTTCGCCGATAAAACGTTATTGGAATAAGGAATAGTAAACGGGGCTCAGTGCGTTGGCAAAAAAATTGAATAAATTGCGTTTAGATAATTGTTGTAGATAGTAGACGCCGAAAATTTGTGTATGTGTGTGCCACTATATTTATAATATTTAAATCCTGGATCACATGAAAACAAGCAGCTATAGTATCGAAATTCGTTGAAGCACGGACATACGAGCACAGGTAAGTATATTGTTGTGTTTGTTGATCTACAATTTATTCGAAACAGCCTTGAAATTACTATTCATCAAAATAATATTAACGTACTTACCGATTTTCGATCAAGTTTAACAATAAACTCGAATTATCTGTATGGACATTGTTCGATTAATTAAGTTCACGCTGAAAAACTGGAAATGTCATTCCATAACGGATCAATTAAATATACATAAAGTCGTAATGTAAAATAATACCTATTATTATTATTGTTGTTTTGATTTTATGAAGTTACAACGTTCAACACTATTAACCACAATGTGTTTTTTTTATTTGTTTACATTTCGCGCTCATCTTAAGACATTAAGACTGGTTGCTTGTACCTAGCCAAAGTACAAATGATCAAACAGTCAGAATATGTTTCGGCCTGTTTTCGAGTTGCATATATTATGCACTCCTAATGATAGATGATTTATGTTTTGGCATTATCAAAATGTTATAATATTAAACAGCATGATTATATAAAACAACAAGTTCAACTTTCTTGTTTAATTATTATACTTTCATTTAAGTAGATAGTACACAAATATATTATATTGCGAATCAAAAAATTGTTAGAAGTAGATTGTTACAGAAAAATATATTTATTTAACTATTAAAGTATTAATAATTTTGTTTATGTAATTACTATTACACACGATACACACAAGTATTTATATATTATAAGACATGGAACAAATTCAGCAATAAACAACAGCGTATTGGTCTGGGTGTCATTGATATTATTCTAAATAATAATAACCTTACTATTATAAGGACCGACTACAAAGTGAGTGAAAGTGGGACATCTTTCAAAACGTAGATCATATACGAGTCAGATTCTCATTCACTTATATAGTTATATGAAATGAAACTAACTACATACAACGCAAGAACTAATCAAATAGGACATTTTTTTTTTATTTGGTACATTATTTTGTGATTATATAACAGGTCATATTCTAGATTTCAAGTTTATAAATTCATAATAGCCTTCAAAATCTACAATGGGATATTGTCCACGGTGGGCTTTTTTCTTTATAAAAAATGTTTACTTATTTAGACATTTATTCAGACTAATTAACATCTCTTAAATCCTAAATTCACCCCGGTGGCGGGGTGCGTCGAAATTAGGGTTTAAAGTAATATGTGTTTAGACGTATACCTAATTAAATATGTTCTATAAAAATTTCGACTCGATCCGACCGTTTTTCGCGAAGATATAGCATATCAAAGTTGACATTTGAAACCGTTAAATTTTTTTCCGGTTTAAAGGATGAAGGTGTTGATTTTTGACCCATCGAAGTACCATCTGCATACGATTTCGAATCTATAGAGGTACAATAGAGTAAATCAGTTTACAGGAAAAAGTTATCGTTTTTACACTCTACAGCTACATAAAAAAACATCATTAAAAAACTAATTCACCTTATCAGCTATCGCATCAAAGCTACAACATCTATTAAGTATTATCTAATCATGCCTAATGTAAATTACAATAATCTATTTTAAAATAAAAAAAATAAATAAAAAACACGCAAATTGGTACTTTACACTTATATATTCGTAGCAAGAATAATTTATGATTTTATAGTATAAATTGATTTTTAAAATAGTCAAAATTATTTATTTAAAAAAAAAAGAAAGATGATACATAACTTATGTCTTATTGTATAGGATACTTAATAATAACTAAAAGAGCGTATAATCTATATGTTTTTGTCTGATGATACACTTTATTATATTATATAAAATGATGATGTAATTAAGCCGTAATTTTATTATTATATTCAGAGTTGAGAGGTGAATAAAAGTATTTAGCATAGCTAATAAGAAACATACATTTTTGGTTTCTAGACAGCGTAGCGAAGCGATTGCCTAAGGATATCACAAGTCATAACTCATAATGATAAACTATGGTACACCCGTGGCGATGGCTATTTTGAACGTCGTATGTAGTTGTTGTGAGAAATAATTGCGTTATTAAACTTTTAACACATGCTTACACTATTTAATTTTCCAAAATAATAGCCAACACAGCAGAGGCATACAGAGGACATAGTGTGGTTTGAGTCACAGTCACAGGACTGTAGGAATTATTATAGCCGAGAGTGATAAAATCGCTCTAAAGAACGCTCCGATGTGAATCTGTACATAGTAGAAATATGAAATAGCATTTGTAAAGGCTGTAATGTGCTTTAATCAACAATATGAAAATATTTTCAGTTACCTGTTGACTGTTAATTTATTCAGACAAGCAACATGGGAATTTAATACGATCAAAGTGTAATTTTTTCCTGTTTATTTGGTTTTTCCTTAATAAAAAAAAAAGTTAGTACATTACTTTCTCAGCTATCACATCAAAGCTAATTTATACATGTTAGACCATAATTTATTAAACGCTATAAATATTTTTTTAAAGGGTAGGTTTAGAAAGTAACTTAAGTATCAACCTTCATTAATTAGCCTATTCGATAGTAAGATGAGGGATAGCCGGTAATGTTAGCTTTTTCCACTCGCACCACTCATTCACTCCATATCTATACGAATAATTAATAAAATCTTAATTTAAACTATAAGTCTTTGTTATAGTATTTTACATTTTATATGTAAATTAAACATGTAATTTGCTATTTGTTTGACCTTTTCAAGGATACTCTTTAAAATCTTTTTTTTTAACTTGAAAACTAAAAACTAATTTTGGTTATTATATACTTATACATATTTATATATAGTAAAAATTTATTTCGAAACTGGTTTGATAAACAATTATAACATAGATGTCATTTAGAAGATACAGTCAAATTTTGATCATTCTTTAGTCTTTAAAGAAAAAATAGAATTTAAAAATTGCAATTGCAACAACCCTT